TCTGAAGTGCTCAAGCATTTCGATGACCTCTATGATCTTCTGGGTATAGAGGAGCATCTAGCGCGAGAAGTAGGTCTTTTGCTCAGGATATAGCTAGCATCGGCTCTAACTGAATCTTCGTCACAGATTTATGATTTCCTCACCGTGTTTCCGCCACAGGAGAGAGTTTTACAGCTGGTAAAGTCTACTGAGAAGACTGAAGACGACATGTTTCCTATGGACAAGCCCTACTACTTTTTATACTCGGTCCATGCGCTTTCTGTATGTCTGCGCGAGGAGGCTTTGGAGGTGAGGCGAATAATCGTTCCCTGTTATTATCTGGACGCCACTAAATATGCTTCACAGTCCTCTCCGAATCAAGGCTATGTGTCTCATAGCATCAAGGTTCTTGTTTCCGCCTTAACACGTCCTGCTATGTCGGTTACTTTCGAAGAAAATGCTACAAAGCTGATGTTCGCCACGCATCTCGTCGAATGCCTACTCTACGCTCTCTTAGTGCAACCGGCTCCTGCTTCTGATACACCATCGGATACACCATTGATCTCAGATCCATCAGCGTTATCCCGGAAACTCCTTGAATGCATAGACGTCGCGCGAAGATTGCCATGCTCCCGTATTCCAGAAACTAGTGTCTTCAAGTTGATATGCCACTCATTCGCCATCATCACCGAAGGTTCTGTGCGTGATCTCAATTTCTGGGGCGCAGTCAAACAGTGCACAGAGTTTGACACGCTTCTGATTTCGCTTTTGTTGGACGAAACTCGCCAGCCCATTCGGAAAGGCATCGCAGAGAATATAGCTGTTGTCTGCAGTCCTTCATCGCTGCTGAAGAAGCAGGCCAAGCCTGCTCGCGCAGAAAATGAAGAGTCGAACGTCGCTTCGGACTTTGGGAATCCTATCCGTGTGGACATCTTAGCTACGGTCTGGGATGCTTTCACCAAGGCCTTTCCTAGGACCCTGGATCACGCGCCTCACTCCCACGAGTTCTTTGAGGTCGCCTTTCTAGTTTTCCGTTCCGTCGCTGAAAAATCGCCCCAAGATTTGGTATTCAGCCAGTATCTCAAGGAGTGGAGTCAGATTATGCTCCGTCATAAAACCGAAGATTTTGTTGGTCGTGAGCTTGTGGACGACCTGATTCTGGGTTTCTGTCGCCTGCTGAAAACATGCCTCGATCTGGCGAACAATACGGAGACCGCGATAGACACCTTCGATCTTGCTGAGCAACTTTTCGACAAGTACCTCTTCCCTGACCTATCGTTGCCGTCAGACGACCCGATTGTTCCCCAGATCCCCGTCATGCACACACAAACCCGTCAGGAGCTGTATTCTATCCTTTGTCAGCTCAGCGAGATCGATACCAATTATGCTAAACTGGTGGATCGTCTCCTGGATGTCATCCCGCTGGATTACACATACTCCCCTTCGTGGTGCTTTGATCGCTTCAAGCTGATTCGCTCGCCGGAGGGCTATGCAGGACTCAAGAACTTATCCAACACTTGCTACTTGAACTCTCTCCTTACTCAACTGTTCATGAATGTCGGTTTCCGTGAATTTATGATGCAGCTCGAGCTCGAAGATCCAGAGAGCTCACAGACCTTGCTTGATGAGACGAAAAAATTGTTCGCATACATGCAAGAGACGTGGCAAAAAAGCGTCGACTCACAGGGATTCGTTGATACCATCCGCACTTACGACAACGAAGCGATCGATGTTACCGTTCAGATGGACGTCGATGAGTTCTACAACCTGTTATTTGACCGATGGGAGGCTCAAATCCCGGGCCCGGAACAGAAAAAGAAATTTCGCTCGTTTTATGGCGGTCAGCTCGTGCAGCAGATAAAGTCCAAGGAATGTCCCCATATTTCCGAGCGTCTCGAGCCATTCTCCGCCATCCAGTGCGAGATCAAGGGCAAAGCAAGCCTTGAAGAGAGCTTGCAGGCCTACGTCGAAGGAGAAATTATGCAGGGAGATAACAAATACTCTTGTACATCCTGCGGTCGTCATGTCGACGCAGTCAAACGGGCTTGTCTGAAAGACGTACCTGACAACCTCATCTTCCATTTGAAGCGCTTTGACTTTGACATGGTGACAATGATGCGAAGCAAAATCAACGACGAGTTCAAATTCCCTGAGCGCATCGACATGAGTCCTTATAATGTCGAATATCTTGCCGATCAGGGCGCAGATATCAGAGAGGATATGTTCGAACTGGTTGGGGTTCTGGTACACAGCGGCACTGCCGAGTCTGGGCATTATTACTCCTTCATCCGTGAGAGGCCTACGGCGGACAACAGGGGCTCCTGGGTCGAATTTAATGACTCGGACGTCACGCGGTTCGATCACGGCAAAATTCCAGATCAATGCTTTGGCGGTATCAATGACTCTCTTGGATCTTCTTCGATGGGTCAGATGCGGTTCAACAAGGCTTGGAACGCTTACATGCTTTTTTATCAACGCGTTTCGAGTATGGAATCAGCAAGATTGACATATAAGCCTACAAGGCCTCATCATTCAGTACGGGTTCAATTGCCAACCCCTCTTGCAAACCACATCACCATGGAGAACGAACTATTCATACGGACATACTGTTTGTTGGATCCTTGCCACTCGTTCTTTATTCGGTTTATGCTCTCCTTGCTCCGCGACTCCGAGGACCCTGGGCGTGAGCAGAGGTTGAAATTGGACAGGCAAATGATCGCCGTTGCTTTGGACACCTTCGAACAACTGTTGTCCCGAACTAGAGACCTTTCCCATCTCGATACATTTGTAGGTGAGATATTGAAAGTCATCGATGATAGTCCGCGAGCCGCTTTCAGGGTCATGCATTGGCTCGTGGAAAAACCGTCGGCGGTCCGCAATTTGATTCTGAAAAGCCCTCATGTAGCTGTCCGGAACAGCATGGTAAGGGTAATCATCTGTGCGCTTTCCAAACTCCAAGAAGCTCACCGAAGAGCCGACGCTGGGAGCAAAGAAGAGGAGAGATGGTTGAATAGATATTTGGACGCCTTTGAATCATTGGTAAACACCCTGGACGATCTCTGGACCATGATTCATACGGTGGGCAGGTCGTGGGATGACTACTTCGAGCTCCTACTTCTTCTCGTCAGCTTTGGAGGGGACGAGGCTGGAATAGTCCTCAACAGCGGGTTTCTGCAGAAATGCCTGGAGCTCGTGTGGCTTGACCACGAGGACCTGAAGCGACTTCGTCGTCATTATCTGGCATACTGTAAGCTTTTGGAGAAAGGCCGAAAGTTCTCGCATCGGAAGATGATGGATCTTCTGGCGGCGCTGCTGGAACATGTTAACCTCACCGTGCCGCCAAATCCAGACGATCGACGGCGGATACTGTCGGATGGCAGGTACACTCTCACTATCACGGAGAGTGGTCTCGTTCGACCACTGGGGATGAAACAGGAATTACTGGTTCTGCAAAAGATTCTCCAGCAGTATAGCAGTCCTCAAGCTTGCAGAAAAATAGTTGGTGTGTTTATTGATGCGGAGCCCGACGCAGGCCTTCTCGACCCCATCTGCAGAATGTTGGAAGAAGGGCTGAGGCTCTCCCCTGCGGAAACTTGTACTCCCTTCTTGGAGGCGACATTGGTTTTCTGCCGTCAGAGCCCCGACAAAGACCGGATCGCTGGTTTGATTGAGTACGTGTCGAAAGGGATCGAGACCATTAACAACAGCGGGGGGAAGGAGCATCTCACCTTTTTCACGAGCGTCATGATCAGCAAAAATGAGCGTATCGGGCTTGATGAGGATTGGTTTATGACGCAGCTCATAGACAAGATTCCGGACTGGGCCCCTACATTGCTTATTTACCCTGAAAGGGCTGTGAGAAACATGACCTTGGAAGTTTTACGCCAGACAGTATTCAGTGGTCAAGACGGGAATGGTGAGAACTTGGAAACGCGTCAGGCAGAGGTCGCTAAGGAGCTGGTGGCTGCGAGCATTGAGAAACTTCGCAAGCTGTGTCAGCATGCATCCAGCACGGGTGTTGACACCAAATGTCTTGAATGCATTCGGACGGTTATTGATCACTGCCTTGCCACATACTTCGGTCCCAGCGACGAGGACCAAGAAGAAGTCCGTCGCGCACATGGTGTGTCAAAGCCCGCGGTATACACATGATCTACAATGCTGACACTGACTGTCTAGAATTCATTGCATCATTAGAGGAGGTGTTAGCGGGCCTGCCTGAGGAGGTAGCTTCGGGTAAGTAGTCAGTTTTTATTAACCCTCCATGTCATCATCTAACACTAGTAACGCTCAGAATCTGATGCATTGTCTGCAGAAGAATGGGAGGACAACTCCGTCATGGCAAGCGATTCAGAGATGGGACCGGTAGCCTCTCCCTGAGTCCCATGTCTCTCCCGCTGCAAAAGGATTTGATGTACCACATATGAGAGACGAATTTACGGTAAACCTTCTTTTGTGTGCTTGTTGTGCTCGTTGCATCTACGGCGTTCCCTTCCAGCTGAGCTTGGCTCTATTAGACACGGGGCGTTTTTTTCTCGTTTAAACTGTTCTGGCTAGTGCTGCTTCGATGGCTGGGTAACGGTTGGGTGGGGGGTGGGTGTTTCTGTTGCTGTCTGTCCTATGGTCTGTGTCTGCTTTAGCCGGTTCCAATAGTGCTGTTGCTCTTCTCTCCTTATGTGTCCTGTTGTTTGAGAGTAAGATGGCTATGCCTCACTCGGTGTGATGATTCTTGAAGGGTTGTCTGTTTGCTATCTACCAGATCATCGAACGCAAATGATAGTTTGATGACCGTGAACCTTCCACAAGTAGGTACTGCAGCTGCAGTAGGTTTATGAGCATACCTACCCTACGTGTAAAAGAAGTGGGGATCCTCAGAGGCAAAGGCGTGCAGCATTACTTATGAGTATCAAAGATAGCATGCTTGAACCCCATGCACCAACCCTAGGGTTAGTTACTATTCTCGGTGCAGCTGTCTTCTAGACAAAACCAAATCATCGTCATCATCATCATCAACAACTCATGAATTTCTTCTCGCCTCTCCGATTCCAGTAGTGGTTTCAAGAATCATTTTTTTCATTTCTTTCCAAACTATCTAGCTAGGCGCCAGCGCCTGTGCAAAGAACATCAAGTTTTGCAGGAAAGTAGAAAGTGGGAGGGGAAAGAATCTATAGACTCAGCTTAGGGGGGGGGGAGAAAGAAGCAAGTGAGCAAAGCTTAGAGACGAGACGAGGAGACGCTTCATACATCCTCAAACTCCTCATCGTCGTCCTCGTCGGATTCCTCCTTCTTGATGTCGGGCTCGACCTTGACTTTCTTGGCGGCGGGACCGCCGCCGTCCGTGGCCGGCGAGGAGACGGATGTCTGGGTGGCGCTGGCGAAGCTTGAATCTGTGTCGAGCTCGCGTTTGATTCCTACTGTTGTTTGGGCGGTTGTGGTGGTGGTGGTGGTGGTGATGGTAGATTTGGGCGCACTGGTGGGGCCGAGGCTACCAGCACCACCACCAGCAACGGCGGGGGAGGCGGCGCTGGTAGTTTCGCTGGCGGAGACGCCGCCGACGTCTTCGAATTCCTCGTCGAATTCGTCGTCCTCGTCGTCCTCGTCGTCGTCGTCGTCGTCGCTGCTGGCGTCCTGCTGGGCCTGCAGAGCCTTCTCGCGCTCCATCTCGGCGTAGTAGGCGGCGACTTTGTCGTCCAGGCCGTCGACGTCGGGCTTGCGGTCCTCGTCCTCGTCCTTGATGATGGGTTTGATGTCGGCGTCATCGGTTTCGGTCTTCACAAGTGGCAGGTTGCTCCCAGCGGCGGTGGAGACGGTGGAGTGGGTGTGCCAGACGGGGAGGGCGTTCTGCTTCTCGACGGCGGCCTTGCGGGCGGCCTCGGCGGCCTGCTCGGCGGCGCTCTTCTCCTCGCTGGAGGTCAGGGAGATCTCGAGGGCGGTGGCGTCGGTCTTGGTGTTGCCGCGGACGGACTCCGGGTGGTTCTTGGAGGGGACGACGACCGAGGCCCGCGTGGGGTTGGTCTGCTGGTTGCGCACGACGTCGACCTTGTGGTCCCAGGCGGTGTCGAAGTCGTTGGGCGGCACCTCCACCGAGTCGATCTGCTTCAGCAGCTTCAGCATCGGGTCCAGCTGGTTCATCAGCTTGCTGTTCTTCTCGTGGCCCGTCCGGTCGATCCCCTCCGTCCCCTTCACGTCCTCCGTCCGCTCCAGGATCGCCCCGCAGTTCTGGCACTCGAACCCTTCCTCCGAGTACAGGCTCAGCACGTCCAGCTCCGTCCACTCCGCCCCGCACCGCAGGCACACGTACTCCTTGCGCTCCTCGCTGGGCGTGTACTGCGCCTTGATCGTCGACGTGAGCTTGGAGACTTTGTACTTGATCGCGTCCACCACCGGGTGCAGCGGGATGTAGTAGTATTCGCGGTTGACGGGGCGGGTCGAGCCGTCGCGGATTTCGGCGCGCGTGCTCCTGTATCGTTTGAATTGGGGTTAGCGTTTTGATCTTTCTTTCAGTAGGTGGAGTATGAGAAATACGAGAATGCGCTATGGAGAGTGGTAAGACGTACACTGAGATCAGCCGGTCCTCGCGCAACTTGGCGCATAACTTGCGGAGGTCTTTCTGTTGCATGCCAAGCAGGAAGGCGAGGTCTTCTGCGTGGAGACTTATTCTCTCATAATTTCGCAGTCAGCCCTTGTTAGGTGTTTTGTAAGATCGTAAGCTAAGCTTGGTGCAGCATACACGGAGTGGATGAAGAGCGCATCGACCACGAGGATGTGGCGGGTCTCGTAGAAGGCGCGGACCACGCTTCGGATGAGCGTGTTGGCGAGATCCATCGTGTGAACGTTTGGCGTGATGGAGGGAGGTTCGATTCTTGCAGAGATGGAAGGTAGTGGATCGGGTAGTGGAATGTGGTGGGGATTGGCGCAAAGTGGTGACTGAGAGAGGGAGGCTATCCGGGCTTAGGCGCGGGTTCGAAGGGTGAGTTGGAGCGAGATGGACATGCTTCTCTTGTTTCGAGGATTGGAGGATAGAGAGTGAAGAAGAATAAGTGCCGGAGTAGTAGAGTTACCACCCAAGGAAGAAAGAGAAGAAAGAAAAGATCAAAGAAAGCGGAGGACGGAGGGGAAAGTGAACAAACGGAGGAGCGTTGGAGATGAAGGAAGAATGAGCGGAGGTTAGCCTTGCCTTGACACCTGAGGCAAGCGAGAGATGCTGGCTACTTACTATGACTGGCTGGGCCCGAGAAATCACCCTCCGGAGCGCAAGAAAAGAAAAGCCCGCCCGCCATGATAGTGATTTCATCTCCCTCTCCAATGCCACAACAATTCCTCCACCTCAGCCTCCGCCATTCTACACTCGGGCTCCCCAAGTCTCCGAGTCTCTCCTATCGATCCATTCCTCGCTCACCCGCCGCGGGTCAACGCTTCATCCCCAAACCCCTCAACAGCCAGCAACAAGTCCGCTTCGAGAGTCGCAGATATCGCAATCACGTCAAAGAGTTCCAACAATGGACAATCACGCAGGAAGATCTACACCAGGATCCGGTGACGCTCGCGAAAATCGTAAAAAAAGGAATCTGGGCCGTTCGGAGTGGAGGTATGTTCTTTTTTTGTTTCTCAAAATGGAGGGGGGGGAGGGGAGGGGAGCTGCGGCCGCGAAACTTTTTTCAAGCTGACACTTTCATCCACCCAAGCAAGTCGTCAAACGATAGATAAACGCGCTCGCAACGAAGAGGAGCAGGAGGTCAAGCGCCAGAAACTCGAGAATGGCGAGGAGGTGCAGGCGCCCGTCTATGCGACGCAATTCTCCCAGGAGGATATCGAGAATGAGCAACGGCGGCCGAAGAAGAAGGTTGCAGTGTTGATGGGATATTCCGGCACGGGGTATAAGGGCATGCAACTGTAAGGAACCTACGCCAGCGGGTAAATGGGTGAAGAGCTGCCAGCTAATGCGCTTTCGTTGCGAAAACAAAGGAGCACCACCGAAAAGACCATCGAGGGCGAATTGTTCACGGCTCTCGTCGCCGCCGGCGCCATCTCCAAGGCCAACGCCACGGATCCGAAGAAGTCGTCGCTGGTGCGCTGCGCGCGCACTGACAAGGGCGTGCACGCCGCCGGAAACATCGTGTCGCTGAAGCTGATCGTCGAGGACCCGGACATCATCCAGAAGATCAACGAGAAGCTGAGCCCGCAGATCCGCGTCTGGGACATCCTCGTCACCAACAAGTCGTTCAGCAGCTACCAGCTGTGCGACTCGCGCATTTATGAGTACCTGATCCCCACGCACTGCTTCCTGCCGCCCCACCCGGGCACCTTCCTGGGCAAGCAGCTGGTCGAGTTCGCCGAGCAAGAAAACGACATGGAGGGCTACCGCGCGCGCCAGGAAGAAGTCGCCGGGTTCTGGGAGGAGACCGACGAGAAGATCATCCGGCCGATCCTCGAGAACACGCCCGAGGAGATCCGCAAGCTCGTCGAGCAAGCCCTGCACATGAACGATGACCAAGACCCGGAACAAGAACCCACCCCCAAACCATCGGACGAAACCACCACCACCACCACCACCACCACCACCACCACGACATCCGAAACAACCTCCGCCGACGAAGCCCGCCGCCAACAGATCATCAGCACGGTGAAGACCATCAAACAAGCCTACCTGAAAGCCAAGCGGGCGTACCGGATCTCGCCGACCCGACTAGCACGCGTGCAGGCCGCGCTGTCCCAGTACGTGGGCACGAACAACTTCTGGAACTACACGATCCAAAAGACGCACAAGGACCCGTCCTCGAAGCGACACATCAAATCGTTCAACGTCTCGGCCTCGTCGCCGCTCCTCATCAACGGCACCGAGTGGCTCAGCCTTAAGGTCCACGGCCAGAGCTTCATGATGCACCAGATCCGCAAGATGGTCGCCATGGCCGCCATGGCCGTGCGCGCCGGCTGCGACCCCGCCCGCCTCATCCGGGAGTCCTACGGTCCCACCAAGATCGCCATCCCCAAGGCCCCCGGGCTGGGCCTGCTCCTCGAGCGGCCGGTGTTTGATGTGTACAACAAGAAGGCCGTCGAGACCAGCAAGCAGCCCATCAACTTCGACAACTACAAGGCCACCATCGACGAGTTCAAGCAGCGCGAGATCTACGACCGCATCTTCCGCGAGGAGGAGGAGACCAATGCGTATGTTTGCCCTTGCCTTGTCTTGCCTTGTCTTGTCTTGCTTGGCCTTAAACCTCCCCCCCCCCCCCCAAAAAAAAACAAGGTGGGCAATCCAAAACTGACACACCCACAGATTCTCCGCGTTCTTCGGCCACCTCGATCACTACTCCTCCAAGGAATTCCTCTACGTCACCTCCGGCGGCATCCCCGCCGCCAAGATCACGCCCGTCCCCGGCGCCGTCGAGGAAGGGACCGCCACCGATGCGAATGCGGTGAAGCAATCGCAGAAGGACGCCTTGGCGCAGATCGAGGATGAGTCCGAGGATGAGGAGGGGGCGACCAAGGCGAATATCGATCAGAGTGGTTGAGTTTGAATTTGGGTGTTTGGCCCAATCAAGGAGCTTGCGTGGGGCTCGAAAGGTTGGAAGGGTTTGAGAGGAGTAGATGTAGACGCCTCTCCAAAGAAAAAATAAAGAATGAATCAAACAATATATATATATATATGTCTTTTTCTACTTCTCTACTAAGAGTTCGGAGTTAGATATATGTACAGAATAGAATGTAAAGGATGTGCGGAGCCCATCGATCATACTACCAAACGTAGAACTATATATAGTACCTGTGGTTGCTCTTTCGGCGGGTGTAACTTATGACGCCTGAGGTCATCGGGTCACATGACGTGAAAACGGAACTGCGACTATGTATGTAACCACCGCGAACCCTTGTAGGTTTCTTCCTTCCTGACCGATTCTATGATTCTCAAAGGAATCAAACATTCCTCTTTGGGCCACTAAATACATCAGCATATTATCAGTATTCAACATGCTCATCGGAAATGCCACGTGGACACAAGCGACTATTCTTTCCAAGTCTTACGCAGACAAAATTACACCCAATAGAACAATATATTACCGCATTATGATACATGAAAAGATCAAGATTCATTATGAACTTGTGAAGGAAAGACGCTATGTATCAAGTGCGGCACCGCAAGGACAAAAACAAGAGCGACAACGCTGAATGCACAAGGAGATTTTCAAAGGGTCAAAGGCTATCAGACAAGAAGCAGAAAAATGTAGCAGCGCAGGCTTTAGACTCCGACACCAGGAAGATAAGCACAAGAACGACAATGAATAAACAAGCAGATTTGAATGGGACATATCGCGAGAATACACAACAAAAATGCAGAACGTACAAGCTGAGCAGCGCAATTGCCACTGCTCCTACCACTCACTCACTCACGCACGCGTCTAGAACATCAAAGACCGGGTCTTCTGTCGTCGAGCATCCGCACCGCGAACGTCCGGCTGAGATTGGGTGTGCTTGTGTCGAGGTTTGGAAGCCGAGGTCGGCGCCGGCGCCGTCGGCATCGGAATGGACGAGGTGGGTTTGGCAGGAGGCGGAGGAGGGATTTGACTGAGACGACGTTCGGCAGCAGAAGGAGCAGGAGGAGCAGGGGCAGGGGCAGTAGGGGCAGCAGGGGCGGAAGCAGCAGGGGCGGCAGCGGTGGACTCCCGCTTCACTTTCATACTCCGCTCCCGCTTAAGAACCATCTCGGTCCAGAGCTTGGCCTGGCTGCTTCCCGAGGATCCTTTGCCCACCGCATCGGCCAGGACCTTCATCCATCCGTCCTTGTCGGCTGCGCTGTCAGCGTAGAAATCAATCACTTCGCCGTTGCCGAAGCGAATACGGAACCCTTCCTCCACGAACATATAACCTTCCTCTTCCTCAGCAAACGCAGACTTGCGACGGCCACCACCCCGGGTGGTGGTCTCTTTCTGCATCAGCGAAGATCGGTCATCAATCAACTTGACTGCCTTCGAAAGGTTGATCGTGGCACGTGGTTGACGGGTGGTCTCGTGGTAGGCGGTCAATTTGGATCCCTGAAGCTTAAAGAAGCGACGACGCCAGTACTATGCCATCGACATCAGCAAAAGCCACACCTGGTGCATCTCAAAGGGGACTTACCGGGCAGTCACCACCCTGCTGTGACAAAAATCCCTCGAAACTACGAGCAGAGACGCTCTCCGCCTCACGCATTTCCCGAATGCAGGCATTCATGCTCTTGGGCATATCCTCCTCCTTCGCACCCTTAGGCTTGGGGACAAACAACAGCTGGAGCTCCAGCTTTCCAATCTTATAAGGAGGTCTTCGCTGAGAAGTCGTACTTGTCGTACTCTTCTTGCTCTTGACACTGCTCGGCTGCTCTTCAACCGCCCATTCATTGAAGCACGCAATATCAACATTGTAGGGCCGACCATAGGCGTGTTTCTCATGATCGCTAAGAGAAACATATGCGCGCGCAAAACTGCCATCTCTGGCGACCAAAGTCCTCAATCGCTCCCACACCGGAGCGTTGATATCTTTGGCTTTATTTTGCTGGTTGGCAAGTTGCTGCTTCATCTCGAGCTCCTTGCGCTTGCGCGGAGAAGCAAACACACGGCTGAATGTGGAAGTCTTGGGGCGGCTAGGCGAGGCAGTAGGGGCAGGCTCCTGCACTCGAAACTTCTCCTCATCCACCTTCATTTGCAAGGTCAGCTGGAACTCAAGGTCCTGTTGGACAATGAGCTCGAACTCCTGGCCGATGGGCGCTGTCTTGCCTAGTTCCAACCAAGAGGTGGTGACGCAATGCAGGCCGTTGTCCAAAGTAAGGGCAAAGTACGATCTCTCACCTATAGTCTGGTTAGCGGCGAATGGACCACAAAACTGATCGCAAGTTTCAATACTTACCTCGTGGCAGAGGCAGATCGAGGTATTTCATCCCAACAACCTTGACGAAAAGACGGCCTCGCTCTTCACCCTCTTCGAGAGCGCCATTGAGAGCAGGCTCCGCCTCCTCGATCGTGGTTGTCGGCTCCTGGACGCTGCTTTGCTGGCCTGGGAGCGGCGGTACCGGGCCTGACGTAGCCTTCTTTCGAACCACTCCGCTGGCCGTTCTCATACTCGCCCGGCGAGTCTGACCGTTCCAGGGTACAGTGGTCCAAGTCTGCTGGCTGGCCTTACGCGGCGTGGGAGCGGCGCGTGTGGCTCGAGATTCAGCTGGATCTTCTCCTGGAGTTGGCACAGTGTCGTCTTCGGTGCTGCTGCTCGCAATGATAACCTTGGTATTGTGCCGCATAAGATAACCTCTCTGTTTGGGGTGATTATTATTAGTCCGCTGTCTCGAACTCAAGAACTGGGGGGCTGGTCCATGCTTGGGTGCTTCCTGGCCGTGGAGACGCAGTTGGGAGAGGGAATGTTCAAACGCCACCTTTTGAGATTCAATGACCCTATCGAATTCTTTGTCCAATCCAAATCCAAGGCTCTCTTCTTCCTGGATGCTGAACGGAATGTCCAGCTTCACAAGACTACTCTGTCTTTGATTCTCCTGCACGGGTGGAGGTAGTGATGGCACGGCATCACCCGGTGCTGACGCCTGGGACTCGTTGGATTCCTGTTTTGTAAGGTATGGCATTGGCGGTGGCACCTGTCCGCTAATTTTCCGGCGAGTGGCTGCCATCTGTTCCATATCGGCTGGTGTCAGTGAGGGACGCGTCTTGAGGCGAGTTCCTGGTGCTTTGACTGTGGCAATCGGATCCGGAACACTCTCGTCTGGCGAGACCTCGCGATCGCTCTGCTCGTCAGCCACAGGGTGTCGAACGACAGAATCAGGGGTAGAGGGCTCCGATAATTGATTCTGGCTATCCGGCGTCGATGGGCGCTGGAGTGACTCCCGCATGGCGGCCATCTTATCAGCAGACCTTTCCTCGCTGATGGTAGATACTTGCGACTCATCAAGTGATTCATCGACTGACTCATCAATCGGCTCATTAGCCGTCTCATTAGCTGGGGCATCAACAGTAACATTGACCGGCGTCTCTTGTGTCTGCACGGTAGCAAGTGGTGTGGATTGCCTGTCATCAAAGTCATCCTCCTCCAGCACGGACATCTCTTCCGGAGGTTGGCTGGAGTAACGGCTTTCGTCATCATCCATCTTATCCTTTAAGCTTTGCGAAGAGGACTGCTCCGAGTTTACGTTTTCGTAGTATTCTGGAATGTCATAAAGAGAATCATCATGCTCTTCGGGCTTGATGATCACACTGCTGGTCTCATCGTCATTGTCGTCGTCATAGTCGTGGCTATCATCATGATCGTGCTCCATGGAAGGAATTGGGACGTCCGGGTCATAATCGAAGTAATGGTTGGGGCTAGACTCCGCCTGAGAAGCATCCTCAAAGGAGTCATCCAGGAAGCTCTCGCTCTTACGCAGATCTCGGAGAATCGAATCCCTCGAGATGCGCGGAGGGGTGTAAACATCTGCGTCGTCCTCCGCTGCAGTATCTGTTTCCTGAGTGGCAGGGGCCTCCTTGACCGCAATCTGCTCCTGTGGCTCCTCGGGAAGAGCCTTGGGTGTCTCCGGGCCATCCAGTTCGATTTCCTCAGTTATCGGCTCCTTCTTCTCGATCATCATCAGACGCAGCCTCTCTTCCAGGGACATATGGCCATGGTTCCGTTCCGTGATGTCGGATTTGCTGTAAGATGCGGGGGCTGGTGGAGAAGGAAGAACGCGCTGGTTCCCACTTCCAAGCTCAAAAGCGGCCGTCATCTTTCCCGGCGATCCACGCTGAGGGAATTGAGGCCGGTTAGTGGGAGGGAGAGGAGGAAGGGGACGGCGATCAACATTTGAATCCAGTGACTCCACCCGGGCATGCTGCATGGGATGCTCTTGCTGGGAGGACGGGCGGGGGATGGGACTATGGTCTTCGTCATCCTCGGTGAACTGACCCTCCCCCTCTTCGACCAGTTCCTCATTCCCAGATTCAGGACTCATATAGCGCCAGTCCTCCGGCAGCACTACTGGTGTTTTCTCGAGGTCTTCCAGGGATGCGTCGAAGCTGTCGTCGCGCTCGAGCGAGGATTCCCGATCGAAGCTGATATCATTCTCATTTTCCTCGGAGTCATAGCTACCTTCGCGGGAGTCGGAGGCGACGGAGGATGGATCCGGAGTTGTCATCTCATATTCGTTGACCTGAGGAGGAGCCGCATCGAATGTCACGCTTTTAGCATGTCGACTACCGTCGATGTCCGACCAGATCTCGTTCTCGGGGTCGAAAGCAGCGTCCTTACCACCGAATCGACTAGCCCGGGACAGCGAGGATTTTGCCGGGGCAACCTGGTCCTTGCTCGGGGAAGGGGGCCGCGGGCCGACCGGGTTGGTGTCCCGGGGGTCGGGCTGCTGTGCTGGTGGTGGGTTCTGCGCTTGCCTCTGGGATGACCGATTGAGGGCCAAAGGTCGCTGTGGAACATAGACTTGCGTGGGGTCATACTCTGCATTGTGGTCGCGGAACATGTTGTTATTCTTGACCCTGGAGGCGCGCTTCAGGTTTTCCAAAGACGGGCGCTTGGAGGGAGTATATGTTGAGACATCAGGATCATAGAGGTTCTGGTTCTCTGAGCCTCTATGGAAGGGAGATCCTGATTCCCGGCCCTGCCAGAAGAGACGCGGTGACGCTGGCGCCTCATAGGGCGACGCATCGTGTGTTTTCATCATCTGCAGTTGGTTGGTCAGCCCAGCGCGCCCATCACCGACTCGCGGGAGCCACGCACCTTAGTGGTTTGGTTCCAGCTGGGGGAGTTTCTGCGTTGAGCCATTGGGCTCACTTCTGATAGCGGACTTTGCCCGGGATTGCTGGTCATCTTGGTGGAAACCCACAATCAGAGGCGTAAGGATGGAATGCAGCAGGAACGAGGCGTCGGGAGGGAGAAAACAACGCTGGCAGCTGAATCAGCAACTGTCCATGCAACACCACCTAGCAATGCAAGGTCGCTGCAACGAGGTTTCATCCCTTGCGGGATGAAGAACGCGCTCAGAGCTGGAGCGACCTACGATTTGGGGATGGGGACGGAACGGGGACGGGGGGAGGAAAAGCACCCACACAGAGAGAGAGAGAGACGCGCTGATAAGCCGAAGACAAGAAGAAACGGCCAGCAAATCCAGGAATGCAGGGAGAACGATGGCGTCGCGATTACTTCAAAAATGCGTTTGCACAGCACATTGGGGGGAAATGGTGGTAATGGAAGAAAAGAGGAATGAATAAGGTTGCGTCACCAACTGCAGCCAATTCGTCAAGTCAAGTGTCTTGTCGCGATTAGCGATCAAACGAAGGAAGTAGTAAGAAGTATACTGTAAAATGTAACCTGTAACCTGTACCTTAACAATCAACAAGCCAAGGCTGATGGGATGCGATAAGAGAAAGAAAAAACACAGGCCAATCCACCAAACGAATCAACGAGAGGAAGACAGAGAGAAAGGCAGTGAATACTTGGTTGCTCGCTGGGATGAAAGATGAATGATGAAAGTAGAAAGTCGGAAGTAGAAGCAAGAAGAAGAACGAAGAGAGAAAATCAAAACACCACGAAATTTAGATGAAGAGGAACGTGTTTTGCCCGATAAATAATAATAATAAGTAGGTACCCAGGTAGGCACGGGGCAGCAGCAGTCAAGATCCCGATCGATTGATTGACTGATTGATTGACGGGGCTGGTTGATCACAACTCAACTCACCTCAACTCAAATCAACTCGAGATCTTGGAAAGTTGGGCGGGCAAAGAGTGGAAAAGCGAAAGCAGTGACTGCCGTGACTGCAGGGGAGGGGATGTTGACGTCTGGTTCGGTGACGGCAGTTTCTATGGCAACTCCACAATACAGCCTCGAGCCTTGGTTTGCCTTGATGGGAGGTGGAAAGAGTGGGGGGTTTCAGTTTCAGCTGAGGGACTCGACCAGGCTTGGAAAGCAGCCACAGCCCAGTTGGCAGAACAACTACGTAGTTGGATGCCTGGCAGCCTGGCAGCCTGGCGGCCTGGCGGCCTGGGGCACAGCCTGTCACGATCGCCCTAGTCCCAATATAGTCTTAGCGCTCGGATCAGTGACCTGGTCCAAGCGCCTGCCCGATTCGGCCGGAGCCTGCTGAATCTTCTCCGCCACTCACTTACTCACTGCAGTTCCAACTTACTCCGCTGCAGTTCTCCGTCCATCCTCATTCTTGCAGCTTCGGGACAATTCGACCGACTCGTGCTCTTCACCTTTCCCTTTCCCCCCCCCCTCTCTCTCTCTCTCTCTTTCTCCCCTTTCCCTTCCTCTCCTCCCTCTTTCCTGCGTCTCCTCAAATTCCTCCCTCCCTCAGGATGAATCGTCTTGGCCGTTCATCTCTGCCACTCCGGCCCAGAGTATGTCTGCTCTGTCAAACCCGAACCACCATACCTTCCATTACCTCCACCCTTTCGCCCTTAACCGGATGGCAGGCCATCCGTGGTATCGGACGGAGACCAGAACGACGCGGAAAGAAGAGTCGCCATGCCCTGTCCTCGGACGTGTCGCGAACCTCACTAGCTCCTCGCGCGTCGCGGGAGAGAAAGGGACCCTGGGGCGGCACGAACATCACCCAGGTGCCGGAGGAGCTTGCCTCCCGCTCCCGGACGAGGGACAGCCGGGGGGCCAGCCGGGGAGACAGAGACCCCAGGAAGGATGGCGGTAAGGACAAGGGTAGCAAACCGGAGAGCCCTCTATACAAGGCCTTGAAGATGCAAACCGCACTGGCGCCGGTGTCCTACGCCCAGCGCACCAAGGTCAAGGAGAGAATCGCCGAAATCACCAGCTTCGATCATTTCCCGCTCATCTCGGTCGTCCACCACTCGATCTCTTCCCAGGCGCTCCCCGGGCTGACGGATCTCATGCCCACCCCGATCCAGCGGGTTGCGATCCCCGAACTCCTCAAGGACCCGCTCCCGCCACTGGGCGCGCCGCCGAGCAGCGACCCCAAATACGAACAGTACCTCCTGGCCGCGGAGACCGGTTCCGGCAAGACCCTGGCATACCTGATCCCGCTGCTGGATAACTTCAAGCGCCTGGAGGCGGCCGAGGCGGCCCACGAGAAGAAAGAGGAGGAGGCCAAGCAGCGCGAGAAGGAGCGGGAGCTGAAGACGAAGAATCGGGCGTTCGACATCGCGCCCGAGGAGCCCCCGCTGTCGAACGCGGCCCGGCCGCGCATGGTGATCCTGGTGCCGACCTCCGAGCTGGCCTTCCAGGTGGGCGACAAGCTCAAGGCCTTCTCGCACACGGTCAAGTTCCGGTCCGCGGTGCTGGCCTCCAACCTGACGCCGCGGCGGATCAAGAACGGCCTGTTCAACGAGAAGGGGGTCGACATCATCGTGACGACGCCGCACCTGCTGGCCTCGATCGCGGAGAAGGAGCCGTACGTGCTGAGCCGCGTCAACTACATGGTGCTCGACGAGGCCGACAGTCTCCTGGACAAGTCCTTCTCGCCCATCCTCAACGAGATCATCAGCAAGGCCACCCCTTCCCTCCACAAGCTCGTCCTCTGCTCCGCCACCATCCCGCGCGGCATGGACGCCACCCTGCGCAAGCGCTGGCCCGACATCAAGCGCCTGACCACCCCGAGCCTGCACGCCATCCCGCGCCGCGTCCAGCTGGGCGTGATCGACGTCCAGAAACCCCCGTACAACGGCAACCGCTCGCTCGCCTGCGCCGACATCATCTGGTCCATCGGCAAGGCCGGCGACTCCGGCGGCGACGACCTGGGGCCCGGCCAGGCCCGCTCGCAGGACAAGCGCATCCTGGTGTTCGTCAACCGCCGCGAGGACGCTACCGAGGTCGCGCAGTTCCTGAAGAGCAAAGGCATCGACGCCAAGGCCTTCACCCGCGACGTCACCGACCGCAAGGAGCGCGAGATCCTGGCCCCCTTCACCGACTGGGCGCCGCCCATGACCGCCGCCCAGGTCCTGGAGGCGATGGAGACCGAGAAGAAGCGCCGCCGCGAGGACCGCTCCATCCCCTTCGTCAACGCCGGCGGCGACCCGTACGCCGGCCCGCCGCCCGAGAAGCGCCTCGAGAACGTCCAGGTCCTGGTCTCGACGGACATCGCCTCGCGCGGCGTCGACACCCTCGCCGTCAAGACCGTGGTGCTGTACGACGTCCCCCGCACCACCATCGACTTCATCCACCGGCTGGGCCGCCTCGGCCGCATGGGCAAGCGCGGCCGCGCCGTCGTCCTGGTCGGCAAGAACGACCGCAAGGATGTCGTCAAGGAGGTCCGCGAGGCCATGTTCCGGGGCCAGGCCTTGATCTAGGCCGCCTGCATTTTCCCTTCCCCCCCCCCACAAAAAACTGCATAATCTCTCTTCATCAACTTCCTCCGATACAACTCTGTACCTTACGACTACTCCGGCGTTTCTGTATTTCTCCAAAGGTGGACTCTTAAAAGCAAAAATGGGACGCAGGCAATTTAATCTCCCTCGACATGGAAACGTTTCATTGATATCATACACTACTAGACCTGCATTTTTTTTCTGGCCTTTTTTGCAACCGGGGGTTTGGGGATCAGGGTTTAGGATATGTATTATAACCCTTATGTATAGTTTCTCATAGATTTCTACTCAACACTGTCCTCTGTACTGTGTACTCACTCGTGTCTTCTCACCCAGCCATTGAAATAGAACCTCTTTCATGCACTTCACTCGCGTACTAACCCACTCACTCACCACCATGAATGACCCACGACCATACATACCCATTCCACAACCTACACCTATCGAGCCCACCCCACCACAAAGAAACACACATCACTTTACCCCCACACAAACCGAAGCCCGCACAAGACCTTTCCTTCCCCCTCCCTCCCGAACAGGAACTGTATACGCATACCCAAGCAGGCTAAACAGGAACCCTCCCCGCAACCCCCCTCCAAAACGCACACCGTCTCGGCAGCTCGACCAACCTCACATTCTCGAACCCGTCCACCTCCACCACAAACTCCCGGCCCGTAGTGCGGAGCAGCGGGACGCCGGGTTGCGACGCATTCGTCAATTTGTGCGCGTCGGGGTTCCCCGTCTGGAAGAAGCTGGCGAAGGCGCCGGCGTAGCCGTCGTAGATGAGGGGGTCGGATTGTTGGACGGCGTTTACTTGGTTCCACTACCGCCAACAAACGAATTAGGGATCTGGGATGTAGTTTTGGGGGGGAACCAACAAAAAGGGGGTAGACTCACCCACTCGGTGTCACTGCCATGCTTGGCGGGCGAGATGGTATACTCCCCGAGGTACCCGTTGGTCCCTGCGGCGGAGGCGACCCAGTAGGCCGGGCAGGCGAGGACCAAGTCTCGGTAGATCAGGCCGGCGCGGACGAGGGTCGTGTTGTAGTCGTCGATCGTCTCGGTGCTGCCTACCGGCGGGTAGTACTGGGATTCGAGGAGGCTGATCTCGTGGGAGGTTAGGCCGGGGACAAATCCGGAGACCCAGGACTGGAAGCTGGCGAGCGAGGAGTTGAAGCCCGTGGATGTGGTGGTGGTCGAGCCCAGGCCGGCTGGGACGAAGTTCTCGCCCTCGTGGGAGTTGTACATGCCCCAGATGAAGTCCGTGGGGAGGGTGCCGCGCGCGGTGGCCTCGCTGAGGGTGTCGATCAGGAACTCGCCGTCGATGACGGGCGCCCAGGTGTAGGAGCTGGTGGTGTAGGTGTGGCTGGCGTCGATGACGAGGCTGGCGTCGCGGATGGTCTGCACGTCGACGGCCTTGAGGCAGCGCAGGGAGTCTTTCACTGTGGAATTGCCGCAGCCGGTCAGATTCACCAGCTGGGAGTAGATGGCTTCGGCTTGGGGCGCGTTGTAGGCGTAGGTCTTGGGCCAGAAGGGCGAGCTGGCGAGGGCTTTGCTGAAGAGCTTAGGCTGCTTGCCGCGGCCGTTCGCCAGGACCTGCGCGACGACGGACCCCGCGCCGGCCGACTGGCCCCAGATCGTCACGTTGTTGGGGTTCCCGCCGAAGTGGTGGATGTTCTTTTGGACCCATTTGAGGACATACTGTTGGTCCAGCAGGCCCGGGTTGAGGTCGGAGGTGGACGAGTCTTTGATCGCTTGGCCTGGGAGGAATCCAAAGGCATTGGTGCGGTAGTTGGGATAGATCACGATATAGTCGTTGAGAGTGCTGACGTTGAGAGTTGGATAGGCGCTCGGGGGCAAGGTAAAGGACGCGCTACCTTGTATGAAGGCGCCGCCATAGAAGACAACCAGCACAGGTCGATTCGCAGAGACCTCCCAGGGCCGAGAGTAGAGTCCGAGGTATAGACAGTCCTCAGAGCCATTGACAGTGCGCTGAGGGCACATATCGAAGGCCTGATTACTGTCATAGGTGCCATTTGTAATGCTCAGTGGGGGTTGGGGAGCTCGAAACCGATTTTCGCCCGTTGGGGGTGCTGCAAAGGGGATTTTCCGGAAATAGGACAGGTTATAAGTCGCGTCATAACTGCCTTGGAAGATTCCATAGCCGAGAGTCACCAGAGGCGCCTCGTAAGCGTTGATCGCAGACACGAACAGAGCTAGGAGGCACAAGACCCTGCGGGATATTGATCGCATAATCATGTTGGCATGCTTTGGTCACACGGTCGTACAGCGGGCATCTCGGCAGTCGGAGAAAGAGGAGGCTTTTAAGTACATCTTGGCCATGATGAGCGACCGTTGATCGGGTAGAAAGAGACCGAAGTTGTATTGACCTGCATATGCGGTGCAGGAACAATTAAAGAAATCCTTCATCAGGTGTCATGAAAAACCGGGGAAGCGTGGCACTTCTTGTCTACCATTGGTGCGATTGAATTCTCCCTCACGATGCAGTCATGGCGAAAATGCGGAGTTGCAGGAGTTTGGCGGGGAAGCAAGGAGGAGAAGGCAGACACGCATGATTTCGAAGACGCTGCGGGGGAATGTCCGGCGAACTGCAGAAAAAGATCATCGATTCCAATCCCAGATGGCCTGGGTGTTGCGATAGGCCTTGTAAGCATACAACTAAGATCAGAAGCGGAACGCCGACCAGCACTGTACAGTGAAGCCCCTCCGGTCCAGAGGTAAAGGAAGAAAATCCAGAAGAAAGGGAATAAATCAAAAGTATCGAATATGTCCATAGATAATAGCCGCCAAAAGCCGTCAAAGGTGTCAAACCGCTCATGCTCGTCATCATCCAACGCCTGGGTTCCACTGGGAATGGCTCCAGTTGTTCTCAAACGCCGTGCCCAAAAATCGCCCAAACCAATTATTATTCAAACATCGCCATCGTTAGTAGGTCATCCGCATTGCTCGGGTCCGCTGCCTGCTGGCTCGCGTGCTGCGACGCTCATCGCACGCCTCGCTCTCGTCTGTCTCCGTGCGTGGCTCCGACAGTTCCGGGGTCGGAGTCACGCCAAAACTGACACCGCGATCCTTGCGGGAGACACGGGCTTCTTCTTCGGGGGAAAGGAATCGATGGATGACCCGATGGTCCATGACCCGTTCTTCGTCGTCGTTGGGACCCTCCTTGTCAGTTTTGGGCCACTGGAAGCCATATAGCATCGAATGCCGTTCGCATCGACGACATTCACGTCTGGTCAGGTAGGAATCTTGCTGGACGAACCAGGCCGTACAAGTGCGGCAGTCTACCCACCGATCGTAAACCTGTGCGAGCAACCTAGGGGTCTTGGTATAGTCTCCGGGGACTCGAGCCCGCTGTGACTCGACCTCGACCGAGGGAACAACACCTCGCTTCCGCGCCTTGTTCAGTTTCTCGACCACAGTTCCAAGCTTCTCGTCTAGCTCCAAGGACCCGGATAAATCTGATAGGGCATCATGTTCACGAGACGCGAGATGCCTTTCTCCGTCGGGTTGACTTGCACCGGGGGTGGCAAGCTCATCTTTGCCAATCAGTACCGTATCTCGAACCGAAGCCTCGGTGGACTCCTCGATTTTGATCTGGACGGAAAATTCACCAATGGAGGTTGCGACAGTGGACGCTGAGTGGTGAGATTCGTCCCCGGCAAGCGAGCTAGGCGACGTGCAGTCCGTGGCGCTGGGACTCTGGATGCAGACCTCATTGAGAGCCTCGCTTTTGAGTTCAGCTTTCCGGCTCCTGGTATTGGGTGCTGAGGAACCGGCGTTCGTAGACGACAGACCAGTCGCGGACTCGGGGGATGCGGGGGCGTCGGAAAGCAACAGCTCCGATCGCAGCTTCGAACTCTGTCGGGTGAATTTTGTGCGTTTGCGAGGGGTGGAGGATGGCGAGGGTTCGGATTCGGTATCGGGGGCATATTTGCGTTTCTGCGGGGTGAGAAGGCCAGTGTCCGCACAGGCAGGCTCGTCGCTGGGCTCGGAAGGCGCCCACCCATTCCGCACGGCACGTTCACACGTCAAGCACAGGCACTCGCAGTTGTCAATGCCAAAGTAGTCCTCGCCGTACGAGACCGTAATCTCCTCGCCAATATAAATGTCCCGGATCGCGACGACCTGCATCCCCTCCATGCCCCTCGTCACCAAGCGACCGTTAGCATTACAGTCGTGGTTGGCGAAGCGCGCGGGGCCCAGGAAGAACGACGGGGTCTTCCTCCTGCTCGACATCACGATGCTAAAATCCTTCCTCTTCAGATCCAAGTCCTGCTCCTCCTCCCGGGTCATGGGCACCAAGGTGCCGCTGAGGTACTTGATCTCCTCACCTTGCTTGATGAACTTACGGGCGCAGATGGCCGCCTCGTGCTCGGTGATCAGGTAGCGGTTCGTCGTGGTGACCTCGAAGGGCGAATCCGGCAGATACATCTGGATATATTTGCGTAGGTGTCGGGTGAACCACTCCTTTTCGCGGTCGTTTGGCAGCTTCGCCATGAATCGCTTCAGTCCGTCCATGGCCAGAAATTTCCGCTCCGCGGTTGGGACATCCTTCTTCACGATCACGTCGTGGAGCAGGATGTTCGCGATCTCATCGTCCTTGACCCGCCGCAAAGGAATGTATTTCGTCCGATTCTTTCGAGTATTCGTCCAGAAGTGGGCCTAAAAACGTACTTCAGTCAACAAGCAGTGCAGGAGCAGCCATCCCCGGTCAGTGGACGTACACGGTCAACGAGCGCATCGGTTGCGACATCATCATAACTTGCCAGCCTTGCCAAAGTCAGACGGTCGCGACGCTCGGCGGAAGGACTCGATCTCGCCTTCGAAGACGGCATGATGTTCTGCGAGGGAGGGCAAATCCCATGTAAGGAAAAAAATTGATGCTCGAGTCAAGGAAGGGGACGTCGAAGGTGGAATCCGAAAGAGTGCGTCAATGCGTCAAGGGGAAGCGGCGGAAAGTCGGAGAAGAATCACAGTAAATGGATTCGGTACGGGGAAGCGCCAATTGGATGAGAAGGTTAATAATTAAGGGGGGAAGGACTAAAGAGTGAAGGACAAGAAATCCAAGAGAATTGACATGATGAACAAAGGAAACGAGCAGGGCTAGACAGAAGGTTAGCGCGCATGTAAGAAGAGCCGGGGGTAGATTGTGATTGTGGTGGTGGAGTGGAAAGATGTGTGATGGTGAGTGAGTAGTTACTAAAGTGAGTGAGGGAGTGAATTGGGAGGAACACACAGATTACGGCGCTGGTTGCCCATGCGATGAGCGGATGTCCATAATTTACTTACTTAGTTAGTATGTATGACTAGTCTAGTCTAGTCTAGTCAGTCTTTCAGTCAACATTCAGCCGCCGCCGCCGCCGCCGCCGCCGCCTTCTTTCAAAGCGCCTGTGGTGCAGGCACAGTAAGTTACAGTACAGTAACTAAGTTAGTGAATCTAGTCCGGGGTCGGTCATCGGCGAAACCTGCCGGCCCGGGACTTTGCTGCTGCTGCGGCTGGGAAATCTTTCGGGCAGTCCAGCCCAAACCCGATTGACCACCCCCATCGAACTACTGTTCCCCTCCAGTTCAGGGCATTACAGTCACAATGATTCAACTTAAGGTATTTAAACAAAATTCTCTGGGCAATTCTGACCCCGAGATCGGGTTGCTGACGCGGGTGAGCAGACGATGCTGAACTGCATCGACAACTCGGGCGCCGCCGTGGTCGAGTGTGTCCAGGTCTTGAAGAAGAAGCGCCCCGCCACTGTTGGTATGTCTCTACGACCTCCGACCTTTCCTGAAGGTATCGCTAACAAAGTATTCTCCCCGATCTTAGGCGACCGCATCGTCGTGGTCGTGCAGAAGCAGCGTAACTTCGGCTCCGACTCGACAGGAAATTCCGGTATCGCGAACAAGGTCCGTCGTGGTGATATCCGTCACGCCGTCGTCGTCCGCGCCAGGAAGGAAATGCAGCGCCCCGATGGTTCGATCGTCCGCTTCGATGACAACGCATGTGTCCTGATCAACAAGGCTGGCGAGCCCATCGGAACCAGAATGAACGGTCAGTCCGGACCCATCAGTCACTTAACACGGCTCAAGGCTAATACACCCTACAGGCGTCGTGGCTACGGAATTACGAGGAAGACAGTGGTCGAAGATTTTGTCATTGGCGCCCATGCATGTATAAATTATACCTCCCGAAAGCGAATTGTTCTTCTTCACTTTGAATAGCTTGTACCAATAAACGGTTTGCATCTCTTTCTATCAAGATCTTCGCAGCTTTTTTGTTCCCCAAGCATCGCCATAACTCCACAGCAAATAGCAAGAAAAGAGACCAACATCGGGTATCAGGTCGTCAGAAATAGACACAAAACTCCAAGATTACATGAAGACATTGCCGCACGCGCAGCACACATAGTACAGTTTCTGAGAAGAGAATAGGCAAACAAAACGTCAGCAGCATGTTCGAGATGGGGAGATTGCAGGCAGAAGGCCTCACCATTCCGGTTTCCGCAGATCGCTGTTGCGACTGGAAGAAGACTGCTTCGGCTTCACCGCAGCTCGGGCAGAGCTTGTTGGACCGGGGAAGCTAATATCAAGAAAAAGGTGGGGGTTAGCCACAGAATCCCAAGGTTATGTGAAGGTGGCCGTTTGAACGGGAACCAAGTCCGGTCTCAGTTCATCATGAAGTCATCATAGTCCTCTTCCGACCATGACTCCTCCGACGATGACTCGCAGACAAAGCAGGTAATCTCTTCCCCGCAGTGATCACAGAAACCCGGGAGACAAACCGTAGGATCGGATCCCACATCTGTGGTGACACCAGCAGTGTCGCCGACTTGGGTGTTGAGTTTGTTTTGGTAGACGCAGTAGGAGGTGGCGGGCTCGCCGACATGGCAGGTTCGGCATGTGAACATCAAGCGGTTGTTGACGCGGTCTTCCTTGGGGTACAGCAAGTTGGAGCTAGACATTCTCATCAGCATTAAGTCAAGTGGGGGTAGATGGAAGGAGATGCGCCTACCATTCGCGACAGAAGCGAAAGTGAATCTGGTCGGCGCTCTTGGTTTCGCCGCCAGCGGAGGAGGCTGGGCTTGCAGACATTTTCGGCGTATGGATAAGACGGTGAGTGACGGTAGTGGTTTGGAGGACGATAGAAGGAGTGAGATGTTCTCGTGGTCTTAACGGAAGTGCAAGTCAAGCGCTGTGAGTGAAAGAATGAAGCAGTGGCTGAATAGACTGGATGAGGGCTAAGGTATGGAACGATAAGAGATGATGAGTGGGAGATGGAAGTCAGAAGAAAGAGGCGGAGCGGAAGCAACAACAGCGTGAGGTGGCCAGCCATGTGGAGAGGTCGGTGGCACGGTTTGTGCTGTTTGTGCTGTTTGGACTGTTTGCACTATTTGCTGGGGGGTCCCTCTCGGTGTCTGTCTTCCCCCGCAGTTTGTCCCGCAGGCAGTCGGACCTGCAGAAAGAAACAAAGTCTATACACATCTCAGTTATCCCCGCTTTTCTTCTCAGCCTCTTTTTGTCAGCACATCAGACCTCATAGAGAACTATAAACCTCTCTTAGAGACAGAACACACAAACGTTCACTACATTCATAATGGTATTCACACACTGTCCACATTCCTCTCAACCCATCTAAACCCTCTGCAGTCATTGTTTCCCAAGCTTACTGCTAACACCCCATCTTCCATTACAGGTAGAAACCGGTCTTCCAGCAGGGTGGGAGGTTCGCCACTCCAACTCCAAGAACCTCCCTTACTACTTCAACCCGAGCACCAAGGAGTCCCGATGGGAACCCCCCGCCGACACGAACACCGAGAAGCTCAAGCTATACATGGCCGACTATCACAGCGGGCCTGCAGGAAACGGGATCGGCCAGGGGGAGGGAAAGATCCGTTGCAGCCACCTCCTGGTGAAGCACCGGGATAGCCGACGGCCCAGCAGCTGGCGGGAGGCCGAGATCACTCGGTCGAAAGAGGAGGCTATCGAGATCCTCCGCGGCCATGAGCAGCGCATCCAATCGGGCGAAGCTACCTTGGGCGACATCGCCATGTCCGAGTCGGACTGCAGCAGCGCCCGCAAGCGGGGTGATCTGTATGTGAACTTTCCTGAAATGTGTGACGCAGGGCTAATGTGTTTCTAGGGGATTTTTTGGACGCGGGGAGATGCAGAAGGAGTTCGAGGACGCAGCCTTCGCGCTGCAGCCGGGACAGGTCAGCGGTATTGTTGAGACCGCGTCCGGCGTTCATCTGATCGAACGGTATGCTTTGTGTGTTGATGTATAGTTACTTGGTGTGTACTAACGATGTGTCTAGTGTCCAGTAAAGGCTTGGGGTTTAGCTCTTATAGTTGGATGAAAATATACCTCGCTTATAACATCAGATGCCACTTCAGATTCATAGTGACGAGTGCATTAAGTATTGATTCTAGTCAGTAACACAATGTCCGGGTGACGTTGATAGAGGCCATGGAGGAAATACGGTTTGAGAAAGATAGGGCTTGTGCTGCCTGTGGCAAGGGTTTCTGCTCTGCCATCACTTCCAGTAACACACCACACTTGTGAATAATTCACTTGAACCGAATGGGCCATGAGATTGAACACATGTCCAGAGACTGGATCTCTCTCTTCCTCTTCATCTCTCTGTCTCCATCTTCCTCCATCTATCCTCACTCTCACCATAAACCATCTCCACCGAACAACCGTCAACATCACCCCAATCATCACCCCCAGAAGCAAACAACACAACCACCAGATAAAAATGTCCTACCTCTCCACCCGCACGCTGAACCCACCGCCCGGCTGCATAAACTGGGACCACCGGGCCCTGCGCCCCCCGTCCTGGGTGTTGACCATCCTGCCGCCGACCACCCGCAAACTCGTCGACCGCTGCTACCTACTCGCCTACGAAAGCCTACGCGTCCAACACCACGTGGAAATCCACTTCGCCGCTCGCTACAAAGCCCTGTGCCCGGGTGCCTTTCCCAGCTCCAGCACCGATCCATCCAACAACCCCACAACACCAGCAGCCGAACCAACCCCAGCCGAACCAGCCCCAGCACCAGATACAGGTACAGCGGCAGCAGCAGCAGCAGCAGCACCCCTACCAAAACCCAAACCCAACCCCGCCACCCTAATAACGCACACCCAATCCATCGACCGCCTCTTCAACTGGCGCCGCGACTACATCCCAGGCAGCCCGACGCTGGCGCCGTCGGCCAAGATCCCGCGGTCCGCGGTGCGGTTCCACGTCGACCGGGCGGCGTTCGCGGCGTACGCGGCGCGGTACACGGCGCTACTGGACATGTACCTGACGACGCACTATCGGCGGTATCGGGAGGCGGTGGCGGCGGTGGAGCGGTCGATTGTGCTTCTCAGGAGCGGTGGCGGTACAGGCAGGAATGAAGCGGGGGAAGGTGGCAGGGACGGGGACAAGGACACTGAGAAAGCGCGCGAGATGCGGGAGCTCGACTGCCGGCAGCTGGAGTGGTGGTGGGGGGCGGTGTTTCTGCGGGAGACGATGCGGTGGGAGAGGCGGATTCCGTTGCTGCGGATGCCGGCGTTTGAGGTCGTTGTTGGGGAGGTGTATGAGGCTGTGAGGGCGGCGGTGGAGGAGGGGGAGGAGGAGGTGGTTTGGGAGGAGGGGGGATTTGGGGGGTATGATTTGAATTGTGGGCGTTAAGGGGGTTCAGGGCTGGGTGGGCTGGGATCAGTGAGGACAAGGAGAGGGAACGAGGTGAGAAGAGGTATCCGAACTGACTGGGATGTCCAAGGTTATCTAAGAAGATCGAACAGAAAGAAGTAATAGTGGTCGAGTTCATCAGGGGAAAGAAAGAGCATGGAAAGAGCACGGGAACATACAATGGCCGGACACAACCCAACCAAACCCAACACCATCCACCATCCACCAACTTCAACCTCAAACAATAACCAAATACTCCAAACTCCCATAATAATACTTATTACTAAAATCCTCTCCTTCCTACCTGTACATATCTAGTTCAAATCACCACCACCATCTCCAACCCCCCCACCCCCCACCCCCGACCCCAAGAACCCCTCACGTGAACCACCAACCCTAACTACCTGTCCAAAAACAACCGGAGAATCTCGACAACCTCATAGTTCGACCCCTATCACCAACCCCAAACCTCAACCCATTCACTACCCTCCAAATAAAGAACACCACCCTACAAACTCCCCTCAAACTGGCAATGGAACCTCCAACAAAGACCCCAAATCAAAACCCATTGTCTATTCCCCCCTCTACCACCCGAACCCTCATCCCCCTCATAAACAATATAAAACCAACATCACCCCAACCACGACAGCATACCAGCAGAACCTCAACCCACCCAAATAGTCACACCTCACCCCACCTCATCCCCATTCTCCCCACTAACCACCACACACTACAAGCCCCCAACCCGAATCCCGTAAGAAGCAGAAGAAAGAATGTGCACCTCCACAATCCGCACCTACAGATGCGGCTGCGTCCTCGATGAGACCACGCACCGGTGCACCGAAGCCACTAACGCCGAAAGCACCACCGACTTCGACTCCACCACCGAAAAATGTCCCGGGGTAGTCGTAGAACACACCGGCAGCATCGACGAGCCGTGCGCCAAGTGCGCGCGACTCGAGGAGGAGCCGGTGGAGGTCTACTCGGACGGGGCGGTGTCGGAGTCCGACGCCGACGCCGATGGCGATGGCGATGCCGACGGGGACGGGTACGAGAACCTGAACAGGACGGGGCCGAGCACCGTGCCTTACGCCTCCGGAGTGTGGGAGCGGAACCGGCTGATCATGTATGACTATGCGGACTGGGTGAAGTCGAGGGGTTGTCGGCGGCGAGGTGGGCCGCATGGCGGCAGTGGGAATGGCCCGCCGCCGCCGCCTTCGGCGGATGGGTTTGAGGATGTTAATGTTGACTGATATCAATAGACCTAACGGTGCCTTCCATGTGAGAGGGAGAAATCTGGCTTTGCTGGATGTCTTGGGATTTTGGTTGCTCGGGCCGTTGAGGTCGGAGCAGCGCGTCTTGTGCCAGTGTAGGTGAAGTCGACGCACTAAGCTCGGCAACTTTGGGTCAGGGTAGGTCTGGGTTCTGCTACGTTTTGTGCGGGGTGCAAAATGCCCCCGTTTCACAATATAATAAACAAATTGAATGTCTTTTTGTGAACTCGAAAATCCTCAAGTATCAAGAAGTAGGTATAGAGCAACGATTAAGTCTCCAATTTTTCATCTAAGTATGCGCAATCAGATAGTGGTGTTGAGTCGTTCCAACCGGGACGTGATCGAGTCGATGATCGCAGACCTGTCCCTGTATCAGTATGTCATGTCTTAGAACCCCAATCAGAAGGAACTCACTCTCGTTCCACCATTCTCATCGCTTCTCCAACCTTCGTCCGTTGAAGTCGGTATGGGATCGTCGGTTGCGCTGAAGCCGGGCTGCTGGCGTCGACAGCGGGCAGCCTAGCGGCAACCGACTTCGCTTCGGCAAGCATATCGCGTGCAAGTTCCTTGGCCTGCAAAGGATTTAGTTAGCTCGGGGTCGACCCGATAATCTGAGGAAGCACTTACCGTTTCGAGGCGTTGAGCGATGGCTTGACGACTTTCCTGCCCCGGTTGCGAGTCCTCCGTCGCTTCGCCGAATGAATCACTGAGTCTCTTCACCTCCTGGAACCATGCCTTCTCTTTGTCGCTCAAAGGTCTGCCGCCAGATTTCATGAGCTTACTCCGAAGAGCCTCGTACCTCTGCACAAGCTCGGCCTGTCTGTCCTTCGCGGCCTGAAGTCTCTTATCAAGGGCCTCTCCGGTCCGCGATCCTTCAATCCGCTTGCCGTCCTCACCAAGCTCACTGGAAACACCCCGCACCCTATCCGCAACATCAGCCAATTGCTTCAGTTGGTCACGCATCTCCCCCTGCAGACGTTCACATCGGCGGAACAGATCCGAAGCAGCTCTCTCCAGCGCGTTCGTATGCGCGGACAGAATCCGATGGGCGGCAGCAACTAGATCAAGGGTCGCAGGCGACAAGCGAACTTGCTCCTTGAGGGCTTGGCGCTGGCGATGCGGAACATGTTTCTCCACAAAGGAACCTAGGGGTGATTCCGAATAGAAGATGGGTGGCACTTGGTAGGGAGGGCGACGAGGCGGGAGTACAGGCGATCGAGGTCCTTCTTGCGAGTCGAAGATCTGCAACTCGCCAATCGAAGGTAAGGAGACCTCCGGCGCGTCCAGGATCGCGGCATAAGGAACAGAGCCGCGGGACGTTAAAAGTAGGTACCCCAGGTCGTAGTCGTAGTAGACCAAAGAGGCTGGCAGGTGGGCAGAATGGTCCTTGTCCTCCCCAACGTTATCATCCACTTCAATGAGCTGCTCTCGCAGAGACGCGGTGCCTTCACACAGAACTTGCAGGCGGAACGCACTTCCACTGGTGTCTTCCGACTGCAGTTCGGCTTCCAATCTCTGCACCCAGGAACCAAGGGAAAAGAAAGTCACATTGGTCGCCGTAGTGACAAAGAAGTTGTAGCGGGAATAGACATCCTTGGTGAATGTCGGCCAGTGGTCCCCCTGTGCCTTCACGGTATCCAACGATTCCACCAAGAGTAGGTCGCATGGATCGGATACTGGCGTGCGGAAAACATTTTGCCGGCTCTTGGGGAGCCACTGCCCTTCAACGCCATCAAGCTCCAGGCAGATATAGATCCTGCCACTTCCACTCGACAAGCAAATCACGGTAGCCGACAATTTGTCCTCCCCGTCGTCTTCCAGCGCCAGGTCAACCTCCTCACCCGTCATGAGAGCGTCGATGTCAGCCCTGGCAGCGACTACAAGGATATCGCATAGGTCAAGGTCGTCGATCTCATCACCGGTGTCCAGACGGAAGGGACCCTGCAGTCTCGGGATCGCGCTGGGGGTTGCAGGGCGTGTACGGACTTCGTAGTCGGACTCAACATCAGTGAGCAGCGGCTCCTGGGTGTCAATCTCGGTGAGCCAGTCATACTGTTGACGGCAAGCCGCAAGTTCATCTTCAAACTCCGCCGGGTCTTCTTGCAAGCTCGCGAGCTTTGGAAGGATAGCTGTAGTGAGTGCCGGGACAGTCGTCAAAGGCGCTCTCCACTTGGTGGGGAGCAAAGGACACAAAGCGTACAGATCGCCCGGCCGCATCGCAACCCAAAGGGTCATGGGAGCCCATGCATCTTCCTTGGCAACGCCGGTGCCACCAAAGGCAGCCGAGGCTACTTCCATATCGATGTAGTCCGCCGAGAAACCCTTGTTTCTTCCGAACCCCGAGGGCGCGAAATCCTCGTCGCATGACGTTCCATCAATCAACTTCCGCAGGTCCACCGCCAGCGTCGGTCGATCAAAAGACCAATGATTGTTGCGGTCGATCTCCCACACCCGGACGGCAGCATCTGCGGTGACTGTCACCAGACAGCCCGCCAGGTTGCTGTGTACCCCCAATGGATGCCATAGTGCGGAAACAACCGGAGACTCGGGGATAACGTGCGTGGTCGGTCCGAGCTGGTAGGTCTTGACGCGGATTGGAAGGGTGTCGGTGCCAGCCAAATGCGACGGGTCTGGAAGGACTGCGATGAACACGGTGTGGTCGGCTACGATAGCTAAGAAAGCGCCGTTGGGAGACGGAACAAGTTGACGGATATTTTCGTGAACCGGGGTTAACAAGACCTGCGCGCGATCAGCTATCGCCCACTTTGCACTCGTCGAGCCGTATTACCTTGTAATGCACACTCTTCTCATGCTCAGGTCGTATTTCTGAACTTCCATTCTTCAGGCGTCTTTGATGCTGCCATTCGTCCTTGACTCTAGTGAGATCGGACCAGCGGATCTGGTTGTTCACCACGGTGAAAAGTTCATTCCCTCTCTTGGCCTGAATGCGCTTGGGCCCCGCATACTGCTGATCTTGAGCTGGTTGAAGGTTTTCGGGGTGTTTGGTCCCTGCGCTTGAGAAAATCGAAGCACCTGGCGAAGGGCGCGAGAGCCAGGGCGGAGTGTAGCTGATGACTTTGGGCATGGTCTGAAGATGTTTCGATCACACAATTAAGATGTATATTATAGACCCATGCCGCCAGGAGAAGTGATGATCGTGAAAGAAGAGAGAGAGGAAGTGACAAAAAGATGGGGAAGGGGAAGATTCCAAGTTGCGGGACAATAGCGTAGGGCGGGAGGAGCAGCAACAAAGTAAGGTAAGGTAAGTTTAACTGACCAGCTCCAGCAGCGGCCGGGCAAAAATCCACCGCAGACGCGCGCCAAGAGTTTCCCATTCCATCAGTTGAAGCTCGGCTTCTCGTCCCCCAAACTTCCCCTTCTCCGTCTTCCTTCTCCCTCATCCACGTGCTATCTTATCTCACACTCTCACACACTCTCTTACTGCAGCCGGGACTCTCTTGGTTTTTCCAGTGGGCGCATTCCGACACAATGAGCACGTTATCGCACCACACCGTGGAGAGACTGGACCGTCCCAGTGCCTACTATGTGGGAAAGGTATAGCTTCACCCCAACCATTAACAGTTCAAGGCAATGGACGCGACACGATCATTAACCCTTTCGCAACTTGTATAGAACAAGAGACGCAAGTACAGTCACGACGAACCCGAGAAGCAGGAAGAACCCACCGACAATCTGAAGAATGCCACGACCCTTTATGTCGGCAACCTGTACGTGCTTCAAAGCCGGACGGACTACACCTCCACAGACCCGCCATTAATTAGTGCTGACTGCCACAGTTCCTTCTACACCACTGAAGAACAGATCCATGAGCTTTTCGCAAAGTCAGCTTCGCACTCTCCCAGCCGACCACGTACCAGACATTGACCAAGTTTTAGGTGCGGAGAAATCAAACGTCTTGTCATGGGGCTCGATCGGTTCACCAAGACCCCTTGCGGATTCTGTTTCGTTGAATACTACACGCACCAGGATGCTTTGGACTGCTTGAAGTATATTGGAGGCACCAAGCTCGATGAGAGAATCATCCGCACGGATTTGGATCCCGGTTTCGAGGAGGGCCGACAATACGGGTATGATCATGGGTTCAACCATCAAAACCTATTGCATGGCACTGACATCTGGGCAGTCGCGGAAAGTCTGGTGGTCAGGTTCGCGATGAATACCGCGAAGAGTACGACCCCGGTCGCGGTGGCTATGGTCGGGCATACGCAGACGACCAACGACGACGCGAGGAAGAAGATTACGGCAAAGGTAGGTAGAAAGCAACAGTGGTTCCATCCGGTTGGCGCAAATACGGCGTTTATGTACAATCTATTTTCTATCGCTATCGCTTGGTGTAAAGAAAGGCATGTCCAAAGAAGTTTTCGTACCCAATACCCCATGCGGCGGCAAGAACGATGCTCAATGGCATTTTCATTCATGCAAAGCATCCTCTCAGTGCTTTTCGTTTCTCTTCCGGACCGACTCTTCGACCCGGCGCAACCACCACAGGTGGATTCTGGCATCCGCCGTCAACTCGGGGTGGAAACTGGTCCCGAAGACATTGCCTTGCTTGACAGCGATGATGTCACCCGTCTCCTTCTCTGGGTCAGACTCGCAGGCTACCTTGGCGGCTGTTCCAGGCAAAGTGGCCAGCACCTGCACATGGTCCTCCATGGCGGCCAGGGCTGCCTCGCTCTCCGCGTGTCGAGAAGGTGCCACGACGGTGTCATCTAGCTTGGCCTCACCCACCTGGATACCCTCGTGGTGTGGGAGAAGCTTCTCCACAACCGGGGCGCGAATAAAGACGGCTGGGAAAGCGGGCTCGTCAGGCCCCAAGAAGGGCAAATCCAGTGGCGCCTGGAAGCTTTCTGTTTGCCGGCCAAAGTGGTTTCTGTTCACGCGCACATCCAGACCTCCAATCAATTCCTGGCCGCCTTTCTTCGTTCGGTTCGCCGACTCGGCGAGTAGGATCAGGCCGGCGCAGGTTCCCCAAGTTGGCTTGCGGTGGACTCTACCATGGAGAAAGAGAGGCAAATGTTAGTCGAGGGCCAAAATGAGTCAGGTCTAGTAACGTACTTGACGAAGTCCCTCAGAGGCTCCAGGAGATTGGACCGTGCCGCGACGAGGGACATTGTGGTGCTTTCGCCTCCGGGCAGAACGAGCGCATCGCACCGGGCCAATTCCTGCGGGGTGCGGACTTCGATGAACTCCCATTGTGCCTTGGAAACATTGTCGTTGGCCGAAGCAGTGGTCGCAGCCTGTTTCAGTAATTGCACATGTTCGTAAAATGCGCCTTGCAAAGCAAGGACACCGACGGTGATGTTGCTCATTGTTGGATAGTGTTGTAGAAGTGGTAGTATGTAGAAAGTCGAGCGCCACTTTGAGTCAATCAATCGACCGACCGCCGCGGGAAACCCCATGTCTTCCGCCCGTTAAAATCGGATCATCCCTCGGACCGTTCTTATCACCACGTGATTCTCCCCGCAGGAAGATATACCCAATCAGGCAGGTGAGGATTGAATCCATGATCCATCCATGAATTGAGCTGAGCTGACACGATCCTTTTTTCGTATTATCCAGGTTTCTTAACCCTGGCAAGCTCTGAATAGAAATCAGCACCCAGGCCCTTCTCCGAAGAAATCCAGCACCTCAGTGGCTCCTTCGCGCGCGGAACGCCCCGTCCGACCAACTCCATCGCAACTCTGTTTACTCCAGTCATCCACCCCGCTCCGACAGCCTCAGCCTATCTATACAACCACCACCACACGCAACCTCCAACCCTCCACCCCCAACCACCACCCCAGAATCCACAATGACCAACCCAAGCACAACCTCCCAATCAAACCCGAACCCCCGAACCCTAACAAGATGGTACATCGACACCCGCGCACTAACCGCAACGAACACAGCCGCCAGCCCAACCACCCCCAACCTCCCGCTAATCACCACCCTGCAACCGGAAGACCAAACCTCCATCCGCCGCTTCCACCACCTCAAAGACAAGCACATGTCGCTAGCCTCCAACCTCCTCAAGTACCTCTTCATCCACCGCAGCTGCCGCATCCCCTGGGACCGGATCACGCTCTCGCGCACGCCGGCCCCGCACCGCCGCCCGTGCTTCATCCCCAGCGCCGCCCTCCTCACCACCTCCCGCACGATCCCGACCATCGAATTCAACGTCAGCCACCAGGCCTCCCTCGTCGCGTTGGCGGGGACCACCTGCCCGGAGCCCGCCGACGGCGACGGCGACGGCGAGGTCCCGCAGGTCGGGATCGACATCACCTGCACGAACGAGCGGCAGCCTTCCCTTTCCACCGGTAAAAGTAAAGACAATGCCAACCCCCGCGACACGTTCACCAGCTACGTCGATATCTTCACCGAGGTGTTCTCGCCCGAGGAGATCCGGCTGATCAAGACGCTCCGCCCTCCGCAGTCAAATGGCACAGCCCACAACACCAACACAGCCCAGGACACCCTAAGCGAGAGCATCGAGTACAGCTACCGCGTCTTCTACGCGTACTGGGCCCTAAAGGAGGCCTACATCAAGATGACGGGCGAGGCGCTACTGGCGCCCTGGCTACGGGAGTTGGAGTTTGGGGCCGTCGTCGCGCCGGAGCCGGTACACCCGGAAACAAAAGTGGGGGAGCCGTATACTGGGGTGCGGACGACATTACACAAGAAGCCGGTGGAGGATGTGCGGGTGGAGGTTGTGGCGTTTGAGAAGGATTATTTGATTGCTACCGCGGCGAGGGGGGCTGGGATTGGGGCGCGCAGTCATGGTGCGGAAGCTGGGCAGCAAGATACCTGGGCGGCGTTGCGGGAGATTGATATCGAACGGGATGTCAGGCCGTGTGCTGAGGGGAGATGTCGGTGTTTGGAGTAGTTGCGGATGTCCACGATTTTGACCTTATGGTGGTAGCTGAGTGGAGTGAAGGCTGGCTTCTTTCAACCACCCCAGAGCAAAGCTGTGCGCAATGGTCACAGTACAATCTCAGGACCAGACACCTCGAATCCCAAGTAGCAATAGTGATTGTATATACACTCTAGAAGGAAATTGGTCTCAGTCTATGAATACAAAGCTTCTTGAATACCACTCGGTATCTAGGGATCTTCTATCCCCCCCCTTGGGCGAGCAGTATCCTCGTCCTCTGTCTCCGCCAGCCAATCCTCCAGTCTTCTTCCCCCTTTCCTCCCAAAGTTGGCTCCTGCAAGGCCGAACCAGAAAAGCGACTGCGGCATTGCTCCGATGAAAGAAAGCAGGCTGGCGGCGAGAAAGAACAAGGTATTATCGACGCGGGAGATGGCTAGAGTACACGGGGTGTCAGGCCAGAGGAAATCTCTAGCCGTAGGAATCACCCGATCTCAAGGCGTCGGATTAGGTACGGCGAGTGGCTGCATGGTATGATCGGTTTAGGACGTGGAATCGTAAAAAGGATGAATAAAAATGGAGAAGGCGCGGGACATAGGATATCAGCACAATTTACAAATGTTCGAATGCAGGGCGCTTCTCGGTCGTGAATGAGTCGATCATGATATCGTCATGACAAGAGATCTAGATCTCGACGGCAGTGGAGGTGCCATTGGCGACAGCAGAGCCAATCTCCGTCTTGTCCTTCTCCGACAGTTCGAGGAGAGTCTTGAGCATCGACGCTTGCGTAGACTTGGTGAGACTGTCGACGTCGGCGGCGGTCAGACCCTCGGTGCTGATAGGCGGCAGAACTATACTTATGTTAGTCACCGATCCATCGTCAAGAGAGAGACACGGAACCCAGCAAACGCACCCTTGATCTTGATAGTCCCCGCATTGAATCGCATATTGCGGGGAGACAGGACGTGGGAGTAGTTCTCCGTGACGACGGGAACAATGGGCACACCAGCCTTGACAGCCAGGTGGAAAGCGCCCTTCTTGAACGGCAGCAACTCCGGGTTGTCGGAGTAGCTTCGGGTGCCCTCGGGGAAGATGAAGACGCTCTGGCGGTGCTGACGCATCTCCGCGGCGGCGCTGTCGAACGCCTTGACGGCCGTTTCGCGGTTGGCACGGTCAATGAAGACCGTCCGGGACAGGGCCATGAACCAGCCGAGGAAGGGCACATATTTGAGCGACTTCTTGGCCGTGACGCTGCAGTAGGGAGGGAAGATGGCACCCAGCATGAGCACGTCCAGCTCGGACTGGTGGTTGGAGATGAACACCGCCGGGCGAGTCGACAGGTGCTCGACACCCTCCACGATATCGAACTGTACACCGGTCGTATACCGCATCACCCATTTGAAGCTGCGCGCCGTGGCCCATTGCGAAACCCGGCCGTAGCCGGCCAGGCGCAAGACAATCGAGGCCACTACGCCATAGGTGGCGCACAGGAGGAGCGAGCCGTAGGCTGCCAGGCAGCGAGCAACGAAAGCGGCGCGGGGAACTTTCTGGCCGAGAGCAAATAAGGAGAGCGTGACAACGACGAACGAGCTGATGCCCGAGGCAACGTAGGAGAAGAAGGACATGACGAGACGCGGCAAGGAAAAGGGCTGGTCGGAATTAAGACTATGGGTCTGCATTAGGAAGATTTGAGTCAGATCAAGGTCCTAGGGCGTATAAATGAGAGAGGGAAGGAAAGATAAGAGCCTGCAGAGGAAAAAAAGAGAGAGAGGCACATCTTTCTCACTCCTAGAAAGAGAGGAATGGGGGGGTGGGGGGGAGATTCAACGAACCGAAACAAACCGCTGGGGGGGGGGGAAGGAACTGCTGGGGTGGTTGGATGATGAGGTCAGGCGAGTGGTTTCGGAGAGAGAGAGAGAAACTACAACATCACCCGAGAAGGGAGGGTAGCAGTATCAGTGAAGGCAATGGGTGACAGATGTCAGAGACGACAATGCGAATGAATTTAAAAATATGAAGAATCGAGTCAATCCAGGAACAGGGACCAAATGCAGTGCCAATGTGGGGAATTGACCAGGGGAGGCGAACGATCCAACAATCGATTCATCGATTCAATTCATCCCGACCGGATTTTTGACTTTGAGGCCATTTCCTCCGCCGCCTCTCACCGCCTTCACCCTGCTTTTTTCCCCGCCTGGAGAAGCCGAGGCTCAATTTACGTAGTAAACTCCGTGTACTCCACCCTCCGTTAGATTCCCACATGTTCAGCACTGATTCTCATTGCTATGCTAGTAAAAATAGACTGCATGATGCACCATAAGAATATCACTCCATTATGTGCATGGACCCTGTCGTTCTGGCGTCCTTATCTCTGGTTTCGCAGTCAACCCAACCTCCATCCCTCCATCCCTCCATCCATCCATCCTCCCCTTACGCTAAGATACAATATCCAGGAGCCTCAACACCCGTCGAGAGCCCAATGCAGGAAGATGCCCTCTAACCAACCCACCGGCAAACGCCCTTATAATGCTGATGCTTGCACGAATCTGATCCAGGAAAAAAAAAACACAAACGCCGATCCTCGCCCAATGATGATCCCACGCCACAAATTGGGTTCGGAAAAACAACCGCAGGCTGAAGGACATGACTAACAAGGTACAATAATGGAAATGAGAGTATCGGAGGGATCATTCAGGAAACCGCGGGGGGAATGGTACAATCATGCAATATCCTCGTCGTCTTCATCGTCGTCATCCAAGGATTCCATAGCGTCCTTGATATACTGTGCCGCCTAGTGTACGAGATTAGCATTGCATTGCTTCGGACCAACATGAGCCAAGGGGTAACTTACCTTGGGATCCAAATTCAAGGCGGTGGTGAAATGTTTGATTGCATTGGCTTTTTCGTGTAACATCTTGTAGAGTTTGCCAAGAAGATAGTGGACATTGGCTTCGTCGGGAGCCATGTCTTTGAGAATCTTCAACTCGGCGAGCGCTAATTTAAGCTCCTGGAGCTTCATCAACACGCGAGCCTTGCGGAAGCGAGCAAGTACCGAGTGGGGGGCGAGAGAACAAGCACGACCGTACTGAATGAGAGCCGCCTTGGGATTGTTCATTTTCTCCAGGACCAGACCAATACAGCATATAAGTACAGCGTTGGTCGGGTTGATCGTGGCCGCGCTGCGGAAGTGTTGTTCGGCAAATTCAAGCTTGCCCATCTTATCGTACACCGTGCCCAATCCGTACCAGGCATTGTAATGCCGACTGTCGGCGCTAATCCCATGTCGGTACGCGTTGAGGGCTTTGTCGTATTCCTCATTCGCCACGTATTCGTGTCCCTGTAGAGTGAACCCGTAGGCAAAATGAGGATCCAATTGCGTCGCACGCTTGAAGCACTTCAAAGCTTGATCGTGGTCCCGTTGATGGGAGAAGGAGTTGCCCACAGCACACCAGGCCTGCGGGGAGAGGCGATCAATTTCCATCAGCTCATGGGCCAGATATGCCAATTCCACGTCGCTCTTTAGGTGCCACAAGACCGTCGAATAGATCTCCATATCCTCTAATCTTGAAGGAGCCATGGTCTTGACCCGGATGAAGTACTTCTCCGCTTCGGAATACATGGCTTGCTCGTAATATGCCCTCCCGATCTGCGAAAGTACCCAAGGGGTCTCCCGCTGGCCTTGGGAGAGGGCTGTGTAGATTTGAATAGCCTCGGGACACTTGTATCGGCAAAGGGCGAAATAGCCGGAGGCCAGCTTCGAAAAGAGCTCGAGCAGCCAGTTCAGTGCCTCCATCGCCTTTGACCGCTCCAGCAACGTCCCCTTGGCGGGAGGATGGTGTACCCCATTAGGCGCTGAAATGCCTGGTCGATGTTCCCTGGTTTCACCATCATGAACTTCGTTCAACTGTTTCCGGGAGCCGCTCACAACACGATTTAGACTCGCGCCTGTGGCAGTGCGGCTCTTCGTACTAGTGGCCTTGACCTTTTTGAGCTCCCTGCCATCCTTGGCTCCGAGTGCGGTATTGGACAACTTGCTAGTGGTCGGTTTGATCTGATTGAAGAGTCGAACGCTCCGCCGTTGCGGCGCCCCTGGCTCAGAAGGCGGTAGCGCTGAAGGATGAGCCACTTGGCCTGAGACAGTTCGTTTGCGATCTCCCACCCGAGAACCATTGATGGCGTCTTTCTCGGGATGTAACGTGTTTTGCTCTTCCGTCTCGACGCGGGTCCTCGTTCGTGGTCTGATCCCCGTTGGTTTTATCTTTGGCGGCGAATCCATGGTATGGTCGACTCCGATGGCTTGGATCGTCCTGTTCTTCCGAGCAGGTGCTAAGGGCGGCTCCCACGTGCCTTCGCCGCTACCAGTCCGGTTGAGGCCACGAATCTCATCGGATTCGCTGCTTTGACCTCCGGGTGTCTCAGTACCTTCCCTAACTGCTGGGGCCGTGCCTGTCCCTGTTGAAGCCACGCTGACCGTGCTCCCATTCAGCTTTTCCCATAGAGCCGAACTGCCGTGCGAGGCCGTCGTGTCGCTTCGAGATGTCAGCGACGTGAATGGATCCATGCTCGAATTCGCTTTAGCCTGCGGTTGCAACGGGCCACCATTGTGTGTCGTCTTCTCGGAGGGAATGTCCAGATCCTCTTGCGAGGAAGATGATACTAGAGCATGAAACTCGGGGTTCATCCTGAAGATGTTCGGAACTCGGATATTGACACCTTCGAAGTCATCAATCAGCAAAGATTCCGCCATCGGTGTTGAACTGCAAGCAACTCACCAGTCTCGCAGAGACCCAAAAACGCGTCCCACATAAACGGATTCAACTTGAGCGACTCAACATAGCATTCTACCGCCTTATTGTGCTGATTGTGGGCATGCCACAGCTTACCCAATAAGCATAACACTGCTGCCGCATCCGGGAGATGTTGTCTGCGCGTCTCGCTGTGCTTGTCTAGAAGTAAACAAGGAAACAGAGGTCAGCACCAGCCGCATTACAAGACAAGAAAGGGGTTTCGCGACTGTCATCACATCACGCGGCCGGAAAACTCAAGCAGACTCACTCCAATGGTTTTTAGAAGCCCAAAGGCTTTTACTCCGTTCCAGCGCCGTGATGCCGTCAAGGTATTTCCCCAGGTCCAGACAAGCTTGCGCGAATACATATGCGCAACCAAGATGCGTGCCGCGTGATCCAAAGTTCTTGCTATAGTCGTATGCTGCTTTTACCTGGCCGTTTTGGAGATGGCACAATGCGAGCAGGTACGATGTTTCCGATGCGCGAGGCTCGTAGGCGTGCAAGCGGCCGGCGAGGAAAAGCGCGTTACGGACCAAATTGTTATCGAGGTGATAATAAATCAACTGCCGCAGTTGGCTCGATATGTGAGCGGTGGATGGCGACATGGTTGCTTTGCGATTTCATTCAAGGAGTTGAGGATTGGAAGGATAGGAGGTAGTGTCTGTGCAAGGGAGGTCGAAACCAGAAAAAAAGAATAAAACTCCTTCTCAATACCGATAAGTCATTAGGTGAGCAGTTAAGCAAGTGGTATTTTCGTAACACTAGAGTCGTGGGAAAGGCGCGGCGAGAACAAAGGCGAGGTAACGAGGTCGCGGTGCCGGTTCTCACTGCATGGATGAAATGCTTGTCAACAGCCACCGTAATCCCGAGACCGAAAGGCGCAAAGCGTGTCGCAGGGCCGGTCCCTGCCTAATCCCTGGAGCAGAGTCCTCCTCCTTCCCTTTTGCCAGCGATTATCGAGAGTCGAGAGGGGGGGGTGAGAGTGAGGACCGAATGAAGTGAAGTGGATGACGTCTCACAACAGGGACAAACTCGTGACGACGTTTGATAGAGGGAGGGGGCGAGTCTAGAGGGATGCTAGGAGGAAATCAAATTGCATATCGCAGCGAAGGGGAGACAAGTTGATTGATGACAGAAGGGTGGAGCATGAACAGTGCCTGGAACTAGCCCCAAGCTGGCGGGAGTTTCGATGCGGTGAGGTCAAGTTAAGTTAGGGACCGTGTCGTCACGTCGCTCTCTTTTCGGCCATGCGATGTTTTTG